CCAACGCCTTCATGATAATCGACGACGATCATCGCATGAATCTCTCATTGGTAGCAGAGTTCCTCAAGAGTACTTCGGCTGAGACAATGCGAAAATCCATTTCCGGCTTCATCGCTAAATACGACACGGCATATAGGTCACCATCAAAGAAATGGTTTTTATCTTACCGCGAATTCCCATGGGATTTGATGTATCAATATCCTCGGGGATTTTCCCAATTCATTGGAGCTGACATCGTCGACGACATGGCCATCGCGAGTGCATACACGCGGTACAATTATGCACCGGAGGATGTATTTCTTGGAATGGTAGCATTCAAGCTCAGCATCAATTTGCACAATGTTCAATCAATGTCATATCCCCTCTGGAGCGAGGAGAGCAACCAGATACCGTTTCCTCTCATGGTGGGTCCGAGAGAGCTCTTTGATACTGATCAGATTTCAGACGACTTATCATGATTGCCTTTTTTCTGTATTGTTATTCATTAATTCTCTCGTATCCAGTCTTAACTCTCGTGTTACAATTTCAAATGCCATGAGTCATAATTTTAGAGTGGGCAACTTTGTAAGTGCCACAAGTGTTGAGATGTCTGAAGTCAGTTGTGCCATTATACCTACCCAGCAATAAGGGGTATGCATTCGAAGCACCTAACAATCAGGTCTGTGTCATGTCTTGCACGACTTCACACAGCAAATTATGTTGTAATCGAAGAGGCTGAAGCTCACAATCTTTGTCCAAACCATATTGCCAACAGTCTGCACAAACATCACGCTTTCATGCTGTGCGCATGATTGACGCGTTCTCGACCAATGAGATGTCGTCCACTGGAGCCAGTGAATAGGAACTTTGGTAGAAAACCCGAGCCCTAATAGAAAGAAGACTAATCACAGGCCAGAGCCATCCGTCAGGCGTCTTCAATCCTAGTCCATACTGCTCCTCATTCGTATCTTTCTCTGGTTGGCTGCATATCATCTTTGCATACCGTTGGAGAGGCAGAGGATAGGTTGAGGCCAGAGTGGTCCATGATGTTTGCGCCCTCATTCGTAGCCACACTTGGGCTAAATAAATCAATCGTTAACAGAAGAAGAGGTGGCTTGGTAAGGAAGAGAATAGATGAAGTCACAGACTAGTTTATGTGGTGAATATTAGTTGCAAAATTGCGACTCAAATCCAAGAAATCAATACTGGAGCAGCAAATACCAGTCAGGTAGTACTGGAGAGACTTGATTCACGTTTTTAAAATAGTGCACAAATTGGTTTGAGGGTGTAGAATACTCAGGCTCTAGCATGAAGTAGGCAGGAAAATACGATCAGGCCTCATTCACCATTCACATTCCAGACCCCTTCCATCGGCTGCCATCCATTTGAGACCTTCATACTGTCTGAAGTGTTCATTTTAGTGTTTTTAAATGTTCATTCTTGCCCTTGGTCATCTACTGATCTTCCACTTGGCCCATTCGAACGCACAAAGGCGAAGCATTCAACGTATCTTGCTTGATCCAGCATGTCTGTTTTCTAGAACGGCTCTAAAATCGCGAGTCGTAATTATATTGCTGCCCTCTTGAGCACGTGATGTGGGGAATCTGGGTTAGCTGAAGCCTTTGAGGAAACTATGACAATTTGCCTAGCGATTAACATACACATTGTACATGTCCTCAGCAACAACTAGTTTCCAGTAACAAGTCGTCATCAAGTTGTGTCTTAAACAAATTTCAAGACCAACGTCCCATTGGCCAACTACAATCCTCAATGAGTCAAAAATTAGTGTGGATTTTGCAAGTGCCATGTGTAGTAGAGATGTCCTGAACAACCTGATTGTCATGACGCCAGTTATGAAGGAATTTCATATTTGGTACCCCAAGCTAGTCAGTTTGTAAACGCAAACATCGGCTCCAACATCGACTAGGATTTTGGAACCACTGAGTGGTGAAAGTGGCGACCAGAGTAAGTGCTAAGGTCAATCATAGCGGTACCCAGCGTCGCGTCAGTCGTGAACATCTCAGGTGTTCAAGGCAGCCAAACACGCATGCTCGTAAGATGGTTGGGTGAACTGTTGATACGGGAACCACTTAAAGTTTGGTACAAGTCTGTCGGTACACAATCAGCGTTCTACTGCCATTGGCAGCAGCCGGCCATCGTGATTTCGATGGCGAGTAGCCACCACGTGCGGAAAAGTAAAACGACTTCTCAATCAGCATTGTCACAATCACTTAAGCATCACAAACGTTTTAATTGTCCACTCACCTCTGGACATGAAACAGACCGACTCAGTTGCGGTACGTAGTCTCCACAAAAGCGACAGATGAGCATGATGATTAAGTTTCCACGATAGCGTTGTGCTCCGGAGAGGTACCATATCAGACAGACGTGGTCACATTTACTGTCTCTGAAAATATGGCAAGAGGTTAATGATTGGTGTGTGAGACCTAATGGTATAACTACCATTCCCGCTCAATTACAACTAACATGTACTTATGCTTATTCAGTAGACAAACAATTTTTAATTCAAAAATTTATAAAACGGATTGGATTGAAGGGTGGACATGTTGTATTGCTGCGTATACAAAACATATCAAACAAACATCAATTCGCAAAATATGAGATGATGGCTTAATGTAGGACTCGTTGCAATTGAAAACCTAAGTAAAAAAAACCTTCTTAATGCTCGTTTGACTTTCTCTCTGCTTAAATCTCTAATGATTTAAATTAGCCGTAGGGTTGTCTGCGCCCACAATTTGCTCATCTCAAAGATAGTTCTGCAGGCTGAAGTCGAACAACTGGTGAGTACACAGACACTTTCAGAAGTACAATGGACACTAGACGATGTCGGTTTCATAAACATGCTGCAAGCCTGATGTCCATGGACGAACTAGGTCGGTGTTATGCTCAATGATTTTTGGAGATGTCAAATTAGCTAAGACAACCTTATTATTTAACTATTATACCTTTCTGTAGATACGATGTATATTTTAACATGTCACTCATTATAAATTATTTAAATTGATTAACCGAAGGTTGCCTAGACACACTTGATTCGGCGTAGTGAAGATTGTACTCAAATCTAAACCTTGGTAGTAGGTCTTGGGTAACTTAGGCGCGGTTTCACTTACCATTTATTTGAAGAAGACATCGATTTCATTTCAGTCAACCAAGAACGAATGTCAGAATTTTGCAGCAGACACCACGCAAGAACCTTCGTGATTATCGACAAGGAACATAGGAGGTACATTTCGAAGATGGCATTGACTTGGACGTAATTTTGCCGGAAAGGTGAGAAAGTTTATGTTCGGTATCATCAGCAACTACGACCTGGCTTATACGGTTACGCTCCTACTCAAAATATTCGTTCGATTTGATGCATCAGTATCCACGAGAATTCACTCAATTCAGTGGAGCTGACATCGTCGACGGCATGGCCATCGTGAGTGCATACACGTCGTACAATTCTGCACCGGAGGATGCATTGTTCGTGAGGATTCGCCCAGTTTACTAGAATTTAACTTGGCCAACATAAACCACTTGTCACGGTCAGGTGACAACCCTCGTTGCATGGCTAGGCTTAATCTTCTGGTTTGTGGCTGTTCTTCTGATGATGGGACAGCCACGCCTACCAAATCGCCAGTTGTCTTGGGTGCGTCCATGCAGGAGAGTTGCTGTGGTCGCTTGCCCTTAAATGCGGTTCTGATAACCAATCGAATGATTAACAAAGGCAAGATAGAGGCAATGAAGGAAGGCTAGAGGAAACAGAACTGGATTCACCGGGGACTAGCACCAGCTGTAACGATTAGGTTTGACGGAAACACCTGCGGACACGCGTGGCACACCGGTAGATGTTGAACCAGTTTTTGGGGTCAGCATGGTATCTCTTCAAAATCATGAAATAAAAGGTTGCATAACCTGCGACTGCACAAAGGACATCCCTAGGAGGATGCAATTTCATCGTAGTTTTGAGTTTCAACCGTACGCACATTTCTCATATTGTTTTCACGCACCACTTCCTAATGATTTCGAGGACGGTTCAGAAAAATTGATAATAGGTTCGAAGGACTTTTCCACTGACAGAAGCGTAAAGCATTTACTTCTCACGTTTTCTTTTGATTTCAACGTATGGCGTAAGACAACGCTGAGTAGAAGAAGGCTAAACACACATTTCGACTTGCCACTCAACGATTTGGTCTTCAGACGAACATGCCGCCAATATGGGTGCTTGATTTTATGTCAAATTGTGTCAGATACCATTGGTTGACATAGGCTGTGATACTTCACTCCTTGAAGTTAAGGCTTCTTTGACAGCTGCGTTTGTGTAAGTGGGTGTGTGGCGTGGAATCATTCATAGCACCTGGCTATCCCCAGATCACCATGAGTCAAACTACTGCTTTGCCAGATCATTTTTAAGAGCTCTTGACAATCTTCCGTGTGATGCTCAAGATGCATAGGCACGGTTTAAGATGCAGGCCACATGGGTGCAGTTTAATTACAGATCAGTGCAAATTGCACGGGATTTAAACCAGCTTTTGCCACATGTGGAATGCAATGTTTCAAAGGTGGACGCGTTGGTGTCCCATTTTCTACCGATTAGGTCAAAATGTCCTCAATACATTCAGCAATTAATAGGCAGCAGCCAGCAGTTATATATCATCGGAGACGCTGTCAGATCCAACGAAAGCGGTAGCATTTAATGTTGTGAAATATTTTCATTGATCGCCCTCGGTAGCACATTGTTACTCACGTTAACGCGTTGACTTGACATCACTAAGTAATAAGGCATTGGCTCATTCTCCTTCAGCAGGACCCACGGTGACGTCCATCCAATGAACGCTATCGATACTCTTAATGGTGCGGACATGGACGATTACCACTTGTCACACGTGTGGCATTTGGTGTTTGCATGGTTAGAAATGATGCGTCGTGGTGCTCATTCCTGCAGTGCAAATGAGCATAATCGTCTGGTGACTGTGATATGTGCATGAATTCAGAAGCATCTAGTGTCAAATAACGCGTCTACACTGCTTGAAGTCTTGATTAGTCTCCTCTGGCTATGGTCAATTTAATGAAGTTTGATGCAGGCCTGAACACGTAGACCGAACTAGTCACGGAGTTTGAAAACGATCGAGACACTAGGGCAGTGTATACTTCACAAGTAAGCGAGACGAACACGCAGAGGTGTTTTCCACGCTGGCGTATTTCCCCAAGGGCACATTGACAAACAGACACGGTCACTGTGACTTTGTCTACAATGAAGGTCAGCCACGGATGATTATTGGCTAAGACGCATTGCCAAAACTCCCTGCGCTTGCGCCTATTCCGTAGGCAAACAAGTTCTGTTTCGACAACCTGTAAAGCAGTCGAGGGCAGAAGTCTGGTTGTCTACCTGATGTAGAGCACTCCCCTCAGTCGATGCTGTATTTGACCGGAGGCAGACCAATAATGACTTGACCAATGGCATGTCTGACGCGCGTCACCAGCTTGCGCCCCGCGTGAACAGAGAAAAAGCACCGGATGGTGTGCTTGAAGACATACAGTTGAATCAAACTGAAAACTTGTCAAATGGAAAATTATTAATGACTTGAGAAGTTGCATTTCTGTCTTTTCTCTCCGCCCTCTTGCCTCTTACATCTCATGCCACACTACTGCTGGTACTCCACAAATGCCTTTCTATCCTGCAGATTTCACTGACATTTTCAGTGCCGAGTAATACGAGCTTCGATCCGAACGAATAGCCACAAATCGGATCATATATTTTTATTCGCAAATACAATCTTTCATTCATCAAAATGCCAACTTTTGCTTGTGCACGATTGTCATTTCAAAGATTCGTGCATCACACAAAACATGCTGCGCTTTCACGATAAGGATCGATGTTGTCAAATTAAAAAAAAGGACACACAAACACGTACATCACCTGTTTCCTAACTGAAGCGTGGAGTCCATCTGGAATGTGAATCGCACGTGGATGCGTGGCATGCCGTATAAAATATACTTGAGCTAGCATGCAGTCGCTTCGTGTGCACACGCACTCACGGCACGAAAGCTTACTGAAGACCAGGTGAAGAGTGTGTGATGAATAGCCCCAGTGTGGTTGAATTGCTTCAATGTGCTTTTCACACAACCCATGTGTGCAGTTGAATTTTCATTGCTTCCGTGTAGCCAGAGAAGAACAATAAGATCGGCTTCGCCGAAGTCTAAATCGTTTATTTGGACACTGAATTCGGCAGTGCACAAGCACGTCTGTTTCCGTATTTCTTTTATTTGTGGAGCTTGGGTAGAGATCATGGCAAATTACTCATTGGGTGGTAATGTACAAGACTGGCGGAGTTTGTTTCCACGTTCCAACAACCAGGATTAAAATGGAAGGCTGTGGTGACGGTTTTGAATCCAGATGAATCGTCAAAGGCACCTTAAATACCTCGTCCCGAACGAATGGAAGTTATTTCACAAAACTTCGATTAAACACGCCCAGCATTTCCGATGTGAATTTATGAGTTAATCTGTAGCTGATCCAGTAAAACCACTAACAGTGTTGAATTCACTCACTTCGCTATCATCAGCTTTTATTGCTCAGTGGCGTTGTTTAGTGAATAAGAAGCGTGATTTGCTGGTACATTAGCACTACGATCATGTTGCTGACATGCAAAGCCACATGTCAATTAGTGTAGCGGTGTATCTAAGAGATTTCCTTCAAGGTGTTTATCGCATGCGACATCTACAAAGGATGACATGAGGTAGCTGGCCATATTTGTCAGGATAGAACCCACTAAATTAGACAAAAAGCAGTGTGTACATGGTGACAGTTTGCCAGCGCTTCCGCATTGGACGCACGCCACCACAGACACTACAATGATGACATCGGCACGTCCGCTTGAGCCAACAGACCACCCCTATCACCTTTATCTCAAAACAGCCACAAGCGAAACCCGTTGTGCAACCGAAAAACAATTCATTGCCGGAGGCTAAACGTGTGTCTGGAGCTCTAGACAACACCAGTGCATCCCGCGAACGCTGGGCTTGACAGTGAAAGTATAACCTTGACGACTGTCTCGTAATCACCAAACTGAAAGATATCAAAAATGACCTGTGACGCCTTTTCGAACTGGCCACTTTCGTGTACACTCGGGTGGCATTCGGCTGATCTTACTTACGATGCTATCCAATGTCGTTCTAACTGACGCAGTGTGGTCGTTGGTGACGCTTTGGAGCCGCAGTTGAATCTGATGTAAAATATCGATCTAAATTAAATGATCCGTTTAACCTACTGAACGCACCGACACTCCTCGTGAAAGGCGGATGTTAATTCTTACCAACTTGCCGTGGCCAGTCACAAGAGATGCGTGGGTAACTAGTGTCACAATGTCTCACCAGCACCGCAAATACTGACGAGGCATTTATGCCTTCATCTATGATGTGGTTACTAACCAAACCCAAATTGCTTTGGATTTGATGTAGCAGTATCTTTAGCCTAATTTAATGAAGTTGAATTAGTCGAGAACATAGACACGCACTACAGTTAAGCACTGGAGGATGCGTAGCTGCTTGCGTTTGAGCACTACTTTAGAACCCTCTAGTTAACAGCTCGTAACAACCCGAGAAGTGTGGTACAAGAGGCGACAGAAGATACGACCGTTTATTAACGTTACACCACCCAAGTGTCAGTCTTGGTATGCGGATGAGTGAACGAATGACAGGCGTCTGCTAACAGTGACCAATGAAAAGGGAATGAGTCATTGTCGCCGTCAGGTCAGCAAACAGGGTTCACTCAGGCGCGATCGCTGTTAATCCGCTGCAGATATATTACAGATGCATCAGCATCCACGAGAATTCACCCAATTCACTGGAGCTCAGCTTAGCTGAGACAAACTACCTGTCACGGTCAAGTGACAATCTACTTTCCGTGCCTAGGCTTATTCTACTGGTATGTGATTATCCGTCTTCTGAAGGGACTTCGATGCCAGCCAAATCGCTAATTCTCATGGGTGCGTCTCTGCAGGCGACTTACTATAGCCACACACCATTACATACAATTTTGATAACCAACTGAATGTTTGACAAAGGCGAGATTGCGGCAATGAAGGAAGGCTAGAGGAAACAGAACTGGATTCACCGGGGACTAGTACCAGCTGTAACGATTAGGTTTGACGGAATCCTCTGCGGACACGCGTGGCACACCGGTAAATGTTGCACAAGTATTCGGGGTCAGCGTGTTATCTGTTCAAGGTCATGAAATAAAACCATGCGAAACCACAAAGACACTATAGGAGGATGCAATTTCATCGAAGTTTTGTGGTTCAACCGTACGCGTATCCGCGCTGAAATTCCTAATGAATTCAAGGACATGTCGGGAAAATTGGTAGCATTTTCGAAGGAGCTTTCAGTGATGAGACTGATGCGGAAATTAAAAGTATTCAATTGGCATAGTTCCTTTTGATTTCAACGTAGGGATCAAGACAACTCTGAGTATAAATAGGCCAAAAACACCTTTTGACTTGCCCATCATCAATTAAGTCTTCAGACAAATATGCAGCTAATAGGGGTGCTTAAATTTGAGTCGACTTCCATCGATACTATTGGTTGAGATAGACTGTGATACTTCACACCGTAAAATTAATGCTTCTTTGACAACTGCGATTGTGTAAATGGGTGTGCGGCGTGGAATCATAAGCAGCACCTAGCTATCCACAGAGCACAATGAGTCAAACTGTTGCTTTGCCAGATCATCTTCAAGAGCTCTTCACAATCTTCCGTGTGATGCTCAAGATGCATAAGCACGGTTTAAGATGCAGGCCACAAGGGTGCAGCTTAATTACAGATCAGTGTAAATTGAACGGGGATTTAAACCAGCTTTTGGCACATGTGGAATGCAATGTTTCAAAGGTGGACGCGTTGGTGTCCCATTTTCTACCGATTGGGTCAAAATGTCCTCAATGCATTCAGCAATTAATAGGCAGCAGCCAGCAGTTATATATCATCGGAGACGCTGTCAGATCCAACGAAAGTGGTGGCATTTAATGTTGTGAAATACTTCCATTGATCGCCCTCGGTAGCGCCAGAGATTACATTGCTACTCACGTTGTCGCGTTGTCATGGCAACACCGAGCATTTGGATAGTACAATGAGCATGTTTCCAGAATCCCTTAAACCTCCGTCTACTTAAGACAAGGCGATCGCGACCATAAATATAAATGTTTTTTTGCGTCTGGGAGAGGTCTTCACTACTTGCACAATTTCATGCTACGCTTATAAAATAGGAATCTGATGGTTTAAATGCGTGACATCGAATCTAAGGTGACACAGGACTAACGTTCAGTTAAATATGTCTTAGCCGGTTCAGTTACTGCTTCTTCGCACATTTGCATAGATATTGGTGATGGACAAATTAGGCTGGTTGTTTGACTCATAAGAAACAATTTAAATTCCTGGCAGAGCGAATTTAATGCCACTTACGTCTTGTTATGTATCGATTATGGCGATAACCAAGGAAACCTGTAGTGTGATTCCTAGTCCACACCAAGCACATACTGACGTAAACGACATCACCAAATAAACGTTTGCTTTTTAAATTCAAGTGGCACATTATCATCCATCCAATGGTGTAAGGTACCATTCGATATATATTTAGGCTTCAGTCGCTGCGCATAAATATTTAGCTGACCTCCAATATGCTAAGGAGGAAGACGAAGCTTGTGATTGGTATTTTGGTTATTGGTCTGATTTTTCTCAGTTCTCTCAGGCGTCATAAGTTGAAACAGAAGCCTGAATCGGAAATTAAGGTCTCCCAGCTTTTGCTTACACAGGCAAACTGCAAATGGCCACCAAATTTGCCTGAGGACATCAAGTCGGAGGAGAGTGAATACAACATAACGCTCTGTGTACGACTTAGTCCCGAGGCGACAGTAAGAAAGACGCCAAAACTGTATCCACTTGTGAATCTCTTTCACAAACTTAAAAAACCACGCAAGGCTTCATATGAGGACCTCAAAACGCTACCTCGAAGATTCTGGAAATTGGCGAAGTACCCAGAGGTGTACAATACGTATCCACAGGATGTACCGTTGAAGCAAATTATCGAAGCCATCAAAGCAGGTCTTCCTGTCTCCGATGTAGGTGAAATCGCATTTCGTTAATTGAAGTCAGCTCGCTCCAGCTAGTCTACGTTGAAACAGAATCTAAGTTGAATGGATATAGAAACTGAACTTAACTTTTTGACACACTGACAAAGCTCCACAGACTAACCACGTATTCATGTATGAGCAACTATTGATTTGCAGGATTAATTAATGTGCTTAGGAAGGTTTGCGGTTAAACCAGGAAAGCTAGTTTGGCTAAAACAGGTACACTGAAAATGCTCTTATCCATTTCCTTCAGCTTCAGCACTTAAAAAGGCATAGTAGGCGCCAAATAAAAGACACATGCTAGATGTGTGAGATTAAGGAGTGGGAACTAACACAAACAGTAATTATCAGATATTCACTTGGTGGTTTTTGCAGATGCCTGAATACAATTTTCCCATGCGCATTCTGAAAACCAGCTCAAAAGTGTGTGCACGTGACACACAACACGACCTCGTCATCGTAGTGAAAAGTGGAAATCTGTGGTGGGACGCCAGAACAGCATTTCGTGAGTTCATGCAACGCGAGAAAGCCCGCAGTCCTCAGCTCAAGGTGGGAGTCGTCTTCAGTCTCGGATTGCCACGCAAACACGGTGGCAGAATATTCAATCGTGATGGCCACATCATGAGCCTGGATGGAACGGCTGGTGACAGGTTGGAGGAATATGACGGCAAAGCCGATGTAGTTATGGAACACATAAATCAGGAAATCGACCAATTCGATGACATACTGCTGGGTGACTACGAAGACACGTATTTCAATTTGACGTGGAAGACCGTCACAAACCTGCGATGGCTGTCGGCATTCTGCGACAAACACCACGTCAACGCCTTCATGATAATCGACGACGATCATCGCATGAATCTCACATTGGTTGCAGAGTTTCTCAAACGTACTTCGGCTGAGACATTGAGGAAGTCCATTTTTGGTACCATTGCCAAAAACGGAGTTCCAGGAAGGATATATTCAACGAAGTGGTTTCAGTCGTATGGCGAGTGTCCATGGGATTCAATGGCACCGTATCCACGTGGCTTTTCCCAATTCATTGGAGCTGACATCGTCGACGACATGGCCATCGCGACTGCCTACACGCGTTACAATTATGCACCGGAGGATGTGTACCTCGGAATGGTAGCATTTAAACTGGGCATCGATCTGCGCAACGAAGTGTCAATGTTTAACCACCGTCTATTCGACATCAATCTCCTGAAGAACCACACTCCCATGGTTGCACTAAGCCAATTTTTTGAAGGAGCCCCCTTCCTTAGTTGATTCTTCCGGCACATTTTATGCTGGTCTTTGAACTATTTTTATAATTTGATCTCTTTCGGGTTATTTAACCTGGAACAACTTAATTGGACAACTTGTAATGTGCCAAGTTGCTGATTTCTTAAAACAATCTTTATTGCTCACAAATCAATAATTTTGAAAAGGCAATTCAATTTGGTGAATTTGGTTTTCTGTGGTGTGTGCATCATAAGGTCCACTCAGTTCTTCTCCAGTCTTTCACAAACGGGTTTTAATTTGCACTTGGTGTGTCCAAATATCACGAAGCAGCAGCATTTACAGGAGGTGTGAGCATTTAATGACCACAAACGAGGTCGATGACACGCATTAATTAGTTGCGTGGATTGCTGGGATTCGAGACCTGCTAGGTTATGGTCTGAATTCATGCTCACGGCAAGTTGGAACAAATTTAGATCCAATATTGCTATCTTGTTTGATATTTGGCAACTTTATTTGAGGCTGTAGAGATTAGGCTATTATTGACCAATCAGATGTCCAGTTGAACGCATTTACGGTTGAATTGATCAGGGGTTGAGAATTCTCCAACACGGGGTAATAAAGTGACCAGTTTAGTGGATTTCGAGGAGGTGTGGGCAAGGAAAATAATGTTGCGGCATGTTGCATCTAACAGCAGCCTCGTAAGAAATGAGACAGGAGACTAATTGATTGATTGTCGAGAATCACTCTATTTGCTACCATATTTCTGTTTCACTGGAAGCCAGACAAGATGAGACACTGTCATATGGATTTAAACACACGCTAACCCTATGCACGAGCGTAACGCATCAGAGCAGAGACCAGCACATCGTTCATGGATGACCCAATATTTGCCCTCATTGCCTGCGTGTCCTCCGTCTTGCCTAACCCAATGAATTCCTCCGAAAAATTGCTTTACCTGCAGTCTCGTTTGGGCACACGCGCAGAGTTAAAGACAGAGAGAGTGCAATATCCTTTCATTTCATTTTGCCAATTTATATCCGATGTATGAGGAAGAAGGCATAGAAGTTGAAGATGTGCCATCAAGGTGTGGATGCATTAGGGTGTCGATGATATTAGATTCTTTTCAAAAGTATACCTCACTGCCACCATCGCTGGTCGACTGCCCCTGTTCCTTCCATTGTGAACCGCGTAGTAGTAGTAGTGGTAGGAAAGCGTAATCGGACCAGGGCGAAATCAGCGGCTTCGGCGAGGTTTAATATCACACGCTGGAGTCCACAGCTATTGATAACCCCGACAAGATGAAAGCTTCTCCGATTCCGGTTAACACTTCGTAAATATTTCCCGTGGTCTCACATTGTTCGCACAGTGTGCAGTTCGATTCTTAGGTGAAGTGCTGTCATCCCGAGAAAGTGCGTAAGTGCGCCCAGTGTATGCACTCGCGATCCCCATGTCGTCGGCAATGTCGGCACCAATATGAATTGGAAACTCTCCTTATTACTGATACATCAGGCCTAATTCTGTGGGCCATCATGATGTTGGGGATGACAACATTGCTCATGACATCTCAATAATCAGACATTTGTGACATTTAATCACTCAGTTCTCCCCACACAATTGCAACTCTTCGGTGGAGCAACAGCGTTGTTTACACCAACACCTCAAATCGTCGACCTCAAATCGACTGAACTGGGCAATTGGGCTCAGCAGATACGAGTGGTCTAGACCGACGTATCGACTAACATAAGTGACAGGAAGACCCACTGTCATGGCTTTGACAATTCTATTCAGTGGAACTTCCTGTGGGTAAATGCGATAAACCTGAGGATTTACCACCACTTTCTAAAATCACCTCGGCAGCCTTTTGAGATCCTCAATTGATATTGTGCCTCTACCTTTCAAACAGATTGCTGAGAGGATATTTCTTGGGAGTGTTTGTCAGCGACACACTGGGATGCAGTCGTACACGCAGGGTTATATTGCGCCTCTACCTCTCAAACTATGAAACCCTTCGTTACTGTTTTCCTATTACAGCATCAAAATGAACCGCAATCAGATTGTAACAAACCACAATGCATCAATTAAAGGCATATTGAGTCTGCAGTTTCTTGGTGCTTGACATGAATGGAGATGCAGATCAGTTTGAATTGGCACACATCCAATGATAAGTGCTTCACTAAATTGCTTTGAATGATAAATGGCAGAAGCGCGTGGCAGGACCAGAATGTGTGCTGGTGGCAACGGTCCCGTGAGCACCTGCACATTTCAACAGCGCATTGATCGGTTAAAATCAAAGGAAATGTACATGGGGTCAATAATATTAGTGCGCATTCAGCTTATTAATTGGTCATCTAGTTTGGAAGACACCAAATTACCAATCTCCGTACCAATACCCATAGCATTAGAATGGAATTACTATTTGCTTGCTGCTCCAGCATTGGTTAACAATCGATGACGTGGAAGAGTAATCGCGCCAGAAATATAAGTGGGCCCTTAATTGGTTTAAGAAGCCATTGGTTGGTTCAGGAAACTATCCAAAATGAATGCTAATGAGACTGATGTATGTCTTTTTTTAGACGCATTAATGGGGCATCATGTGGATACCTGTGGTACACCTGCGGATATTTTAGCAGTTTCCAAAATTTTAGTGGCATTTTTACGAGGTCCTCAAAGGAAACCATGCGTGATTGCTGAATTCCTCGAAATAGATCTGCAGTTGGATGGAATTTTGGCGTCTACTCGATAATCGCATTTGGGTTTCAATGTAAGCATAGTTGCATATTGTGTACACCCTCTGCCGACACTTTGTCTTCAAGAACATTTTGAGGCCATTCGCGAATATGGCTTTGGTTCTTTGTGTGAGGCGAGATAACGCTAAGCACAAGTTATCCCATAACTAAAACACCAATAAGATATTTTGTCTTGCTTCGCAAACTAACAGCGGTTAGATGAACTTGTATTCAAAAGCAATGCTTGAATTTATATTGAAACGATTTTACTGTCATTAGTTGAAAGAAAGTGTGCCACTTTAATGTATAAGCCTAGGCACTGTGTAATTGGGAGACTCAAGAATTTTTAGTTACAACAACTTAGGATTTCAAGATTACTTTGTCTGGTTATCACTAATGGCATTTCAAAACTATTTTTCTATGCGATTATTAGGAGTCATTTCAAGCGTCGCAGAGATTCCTGCCAGTTTGGAAATTGTGCCTTATGTAATGTTTCAGAACTGACTACGTCGATGCACAATTTGCCACGATGCAATCATCCCTCAATTCATACCTGACTGCACATTCAAGGAGGCCACTCAAAATTTTAAGTGGGTGTTAAGAGAACGTTTCTCGTTGTTTGGTGTCGGTAGTGGTGTCTTATGCTCTTAAAAGAACATTTTGACGACTTTCTCGGCAACTTCGTAGCGGTTAATAGAGAATGCGATGAAAGTCATTTCAAATTGCTGACCAATGATTAATTCAAAACTATCGTCCTCACTTGCTGTCTACGTGTCCCAAAGTCTGCTGATCCCAGAATGCGACTGCTCTATGTCCTTGAGCGAATCCCTGCCGTGATGCTGGACAAGATACACAATGAATACTCCCGCTGGAATCCAGGATGGTCCACGCTTGAGACCGCAGTGATCACAATGTCAATGCAGTCTTGCATATCACCATAACACCTCCCACTTCCCACAAGGTCGGGCGTTAGCCCATCCACCTCAAATCGAAAATAAGCAAAAGGTACGTCAATTTTGGCTTGTTGTCGTTGAAGAGCCTGGAACTTTTGTCGGGTTCCACCCATGCAAGCAGCGTCGGTGTTAACAATGCGGTGCCTTGGGCCACAAGAACAATAACAAGCGACATCCCCGCCTCCAGGAAAAAATCAAAGGCCAAACCAAAATCCGAATGGTTCTACCACATAAACGCTTAGCGTACGAGTTACCTCTGAAGACATTCGACAACTTCAGAGAATGTACAAAATCCTTCTCATAAATTTTAGTCCAGTTTGCATTCGAGAAGCTAAAAGCAGGCGCTCTTGGTGTTCTTTCCTAGATCAGTTTGGCTGGGTCACTTAGTGTTACCTTAACGTTTCTTGATTGAGCTCGTCGGATGAATTTTGCCTGATTTACCAAGGTAGACTGACACAAATGGGAGCTATGAATGGGAGGCCGAGAGTTGTGATGACCCAATAGAGTGTAAACAATAGTAAAAGCTTAAATTGATGGCAAATAGCCCTGGACAATCCTGATTACCCCGACAATTCATCACCATTTCAAATGAGAATGGAATCTAATATCGGTTGTCTCCTTAAAGTGGCAATTCTAAAACTAGCACATAACCTGTATTTCAGGCACCAATATTCTTGTTAATAGTTTAAAACCAGGCTTACTCTGTTTGGCAATGCGTCCCCCCGCTACCAGATGTGTTCGAAAGTCAACAGTGGTCCATTCAGAGGAGCTGTGGGCTTATATTAAACACCAATCTCGTCGATGTCTTGTTAGGTTAGTTTCGGCACATTGACCAGTTCGAAAAATGGTAGGTCTTCTCGTTTATCTAGCCTCATTATAGATTTAATTAATATCAGATGTAATAAGGTTGCGTATGCGAACTGTTAACGAGCAGACGTACAGTGGGACGAATTCGCGACTGAACCATTCAAGAGTCCAGATATTTTGCCTTCCGTCAGGCTGATGCCTCAATCCAACCTCACCTCACGGTGGCGTTACTTCAAACCATTGCCGCCTAAGGGATTGGCAACAGGCTATGCATGGAGAAAATGCACTGATTTGACCGTTGACAGAAACCATTCAAAACTAATTTTGTCACAACAGGATTTCAGTTCAAATTTTAACTGCCAGCCGCAAGCATATCACTCATGTGGGACTCCCCTCACGCTCTTCTGTCTGACTAGACTGTACCGAACGCTGACACGTGAATGAACATCACCCCAATTCAACGTTTTAACGATACGACAGTTTTTGCATCGATGCTTCGTATGTGTTTGATTGCTACTTTCAACTTGGTTCATTTTGCTGCTGTTATTTTATACATGTT